CCCATATATATAACTCTTTGATCTCATTCAGAGTTGTGTAGTGTTCCTCATATAGATCTCCTACCTATTTTGTTAGAATTATGCCTACCTAAGTATTTCGTTTGGAGATAGTGATAATGTAAATAGTATTGTATTCTTTTTTTAAAACATGTCTTTATTGATTTCAGAAAGAGGAAGAGAGAGTGAGAGAGATAAAAACATCAGTGATGAGAGAGTCCTCATTGATTGGCTGCCTCCTGCACACCCCCGACTGGGGATCAAGCCCACAGCCCAGGCATGTACTCTGACCAGGAATTGAACTGTGATCTCCTGGATCCTAGGTCGGTGCTCAACCACTGAACCATGCCCTGTATTTTTTATTTCAAATTTCACTTGCTCATTGTTGGTATAGGTTATATTTTTAAGTTATTCAGTATCCTCACACTTGGATGCTCAGAAATATGTGAGCAAGCAGCACTGAATATGCCTGCACCTGTGTCTTGTGCTCAGTTGTAAGCTCACCACTAGGTGAGTGAACTCAGAACGGTTAGTCTGACGTTACGGTAGTTGCATTTAAAAAGCTGCATGTCACATCAAGACATATGCACCATGACATGTGTGCTATTCCTGTCAAAGTGCATAATTTCAATTTGATGATGAGAAAATATTGAACAATTCTCAATTGAAAGGCATTCTATAGAATAAGTGCCCTATACTCTTCAAAAGGATTAAGGTTATGAAAAACAAGGACAGACAAACTTTGAAATTCTTCCAGATTAAAAGGGAAATAACAACTGCATGCAACATGGAGTCCTACATTGAACTTTGGGCCATTTAGTTTTACTATAAAGAATGTCATTAAGAGAATTGGCAAAATGATATCTGTAGTTACAAAATAGTATTATATTAATATTAGTCTTTTGATTTTCATACTTGTACTCTCTTGTTCTTAGGAAGCACAAACACCATCTATAAGTTACACTGAAAAAAATTTAGCAAAATTAATACATACATATAAAAAGTGAAAGAAAATTGCAGTAAAATATTAATGATTGAGGAGTCTTGGTTAAGGTCCTATGAAAGTTTTTTCCCTTATTCTTTAAACTTTTCTGTGAGCCTGAAATTATTTTAAAAATACAAAATTACCACAAAACAAGGGTACATTGACTCAAGACTAATATTCAGCCTCTCCCTCTATAAAACTGAGAGAGGTTAAACTTCCTCAACAGCCATGAGGTTTTGTCTTACCCCTACTTCTGTGGAGCACTGTGACCTTGACCAAATTATGTAACTTTCTGAATCTTGCTTTTTTTTAATCCATATAATCCAGGTGTCAACTAGGGATGCTTGGGCCTTTGGAATCTAGATGAGATCCACTCAACTCTCCTCACATCATGTGCCCGGTAGAAACCCCAAGCCCTACCCAACATTCTTATAAATTCTGAGGGCTAGAGCTGGATCCTTATTTCACTTCTGGATCCAGTTTTCTGCCTTCAGTAAACCTTCCCAGTTAACAAATTATGTCTTCATCCCACACATTTGATCTCAAGTCTTCACTACTGTAACTCAGGTGTGAAATTCAGCCCCTCTACCCTGACTTCCCCACACCAACCAAACCCTAATCGCTTACCCAAGGCATTTGCAACTGTAATGCATTTTACTGAAGCTGTCGGGGTACAGAGAAGGATTTTATATTGCAAAACACAAACAACTTTAAAGTAAGCCTAAGACATGCTTTGAGAAATCCTTTGGTCACCACACCACTCAGGCATGAGCAGTGGTCCCTTTGCCCTATGTCATGCCAGGCCTCATACCTCTTACCATCTCCTTTCCCGTTCCTTTTTCTACCTCCGGTTTCCTTGGCAACCCCTTTTCTCAAGGGTGAAGAACATTCTTCCCAAGCAGAGCAGATCCTTTTGTATTCGAGGTGCCCTTAGCCTTCGGACTCTACCAACCATCACAGGATTCTCCCAGATAAAAACACTTCCCTCCCTAAGAGGGTGCCAGCTAAGTTGTCACAACCTCTGTAAAGTGAGACATAGTGCTAGACGCTCTTTTAGGGCATTTCCAGTGTGAAAACACTGAGATGCTATGAAGTACACTTGCTTTATTTTCCAAAATGAAATTACCTTTATAGTCTATGTTGATTTTTAAGAGTACTCAAAGCTCATTGTAGAAAATGATACAGAGAGGTGAACAGATGACAAACTACCCTAAATTACACCACCTGTTATTAACATTTAGGTGAACATTAGCTGAACATCCTCCCATGTGGAGGATGCTCTTTTGTTTTTTCAAAAACTATATATTGTGAAGATCTTTATGTGGCAATAAACAGAAATGCAGCATCATTTCTATGGTCATTCACTCTTGGAAAGTGCAATAAGTTTTCTTTCCTGTAAACCCCTTTCTTTCTTTACAGCCTTTTCTGTGCTCTTTGTAACTTCATCCCAGTGAAACTGAGGCTGATATTTCAATATTTAACTCATCCTTATTATTGCTGCTCTCAGATATACAGTTAGCAAGATAGGCATAGATGATAGATAGGTAGATGATAGATTAGATAGATAGGTAGATAGATAGATAGATAGATAGATAGATAGATAGATAGATAGATAGATAGATAGATGATAGATGATAGATAGATAGATAGATAGATAGATAGATAGATAGATAGATAGATAATTAGATTAGATAGAGAGAGAGAGAGAGATGATGATAGATAGATTAGAGAGAGACAGAGAGAGAGAGAGAGATGTCAAACATGAATTGTTTTTCCAACCTTGTTATCTATGTGAAATTTATTACGACACCAATAAAGCCCCCTTAACAAATTCTATTTATTTGATATTGACTTGGCCAAATGCAGACTTCTTCTGGGTTATTCCAGGTTTCAGAGAACAGGCTTGCTTGTGAAGAAATCAGCCAGTAATTTCTCAGCTTAGGCTTTCACTTTTCATCCGTCTTCTCCATCATCATTTAGAGAGAACCTCAGCCCCAGAGCTGATGCTTGGCAGTGATTAATCTCTGTCTTCCACAGCTGCTCCAGAGAGCGTGAGCCCAACTGCAGACAATAACAGACAGTCTCAGCCATATCTGTAATCAAGTTGATTCCCCCTCAACAGAATACCAGAGTGTATTTCTACTCCCCGTTTAATCCCATAAGTTTCTATGAATTCAAACCCTTTTCAGATGTGCCTTTTGCCAAGCACTTATTAGAGCCCTAGACTGTTCGGAGCTAGAAGGTACAATATGCATCACTCATTGGCTCACAAATTGGGCTTTACTTGGCCAGCACAGTGCTTTCAATCTTTTTGTCTTGAGGAAGGGCATATACTCTCCAGTTTTCCACAAGCTATACCATTTCCTATTCTACACCTGACTCATATCCTTATATTTCCTGCTTGATCCTCAATACATTAAATATGTTAATAATGTCCAAAGAATGCCACACCCAGAGATACTTAGTCGTCTACACTGAGGCACACAGCTACTCAGCGACTCTTTCCAAACTCTGGACCCTCCTGATATTTTGTGTACATTCAACAAATATTCATGAAGCTCATACTATGTTAGAGACACCTGTGAGAAAAACAGTCATGTTCTCATGGAGCTTGCAGTTCAGTTGTTCCAAAGTTTGTCTCTAGAGAGTGTTCCTTTGGGCATACCAGGATAATTTTGAATGATGAAGATTTTTTTAAGATTCTTCTGACCCTTAATACTATATATAAAACCAACCCTATGTATGAATCTTTCTAGAAGGAGGAAGCATTTCCTTGTTATAAAGAGCACATGGCCCACTTGGCCGTAGGTTAGAGTGGCTCTGCTAGTGTTGACGGGATATTTAGTTGGCTAGATAACAATGAGAACAAGACAAGACACATGATCAGAGCACTTAGAATAATTACTCACTATCAGCCTTTGGTAATGTTGGAAAGTTCCCAACATTAGCCAGCAACTTTACGCACGCTTGGAGCTGGTCTGCAATGTATCTTCAGGGTGGGCCTCCTGGTACTCTCTGAGTGTGGTAGGCTGATGTATTGATGGCCCAATCATTGGTCTTCCTACATTACCTTCCTACATGGCCCTGGAACTTTGCGATCCTCCTACTATGACCTGGGCTAGCCTCTGACTTGCTTTGGCCAAAAGAATATGGCCAAATGCCTGGAATGCCACTTTCAGTGGAGAAGGGGAAGAGATCTGGGAACCTCAAGGTTCCATTTTCATACAGAAGAAGAGAAAAATACCCCCAGAGGGGAAATGACTTGCCTAAGTTTAGGTGGTAACATACATGAGCCACATCCAGGTCTCCTGATTCCTAGATCAAGACTTCCTTTGCCAAATTGCCTTGAATCATAGAGCCAGTGACAGTTCTCTTTAGGTTCTTCTAGATTTTCACAGGCCCCAAATCCCACTATAGTGGCTTCTCTAACTAACCCTGACACTCATATCTAATGCCAAGGATCTTTAGGAAAGGGAGATAGAGGGAAACCTGGCCTGTCATCCAGCAGGTACTAACTAGATTTATATGGTTACATTGTGCCCAGCATGAGAGGCATCAAGGGGTCACAGAGAGGGCCCAATACATAAGACAGACAACCCAGCTGTGAAGACAGGACTAGGTTACAACATGATGCTAGAGCAACCCAACATGGAGCATAAACACCAGTCCAAGAGAGGAGAATGGAAGTTGGTGTGAGTATGAGTATAAAGGCAAAGCTCCATGGAGGGGAGGGGAAGAGGAAATTGAAAGATGGGTATAAACTAAAGAAAGGGAGGAAAGAATAAAAGGTATTTGTGGAGGGAAAGGGTAATGGGCACTATGTAAGAAAAAGCAGAAAAAGGGGAACAAGTACAATGATGGGGAAACAGAGGACCAAGTCTGATGGAAGGTTGTCGGTGGTTTCCTCATATGCTTTTCTATCCTATGGAGCCTCAACATGCAGCTCCAGCTTTGATGTCTTGTTCGGGGGCCAGCCCGAGAAGCTAACAATGTCGCATGTCTGTTTGACTCTTCACAGCTCCCCTTCACTGAAGGCCTGTACCACTTTTACCACAATGGCCTTGCAAAGGCCAAGAGAAGACGCAGCCTACGCCACAAGCAGCAGCTGGAGAGAGACCCCAGGGTGAGTTTTCCTGGAGACCTACCTTCCAACCTCTGCTCCCACGTGCAGGCCCACTGGGGGAGTATAAAAGAGCATGGGCGGGGGATTTTGAAGTAAAGGCATTCCACTTATTGAGATGGGCCAACCGGATCCTCAGCAGAGTGGCATAGAGGACTCTCCGCTCCTCTATCCTGTGTATTATAAACAAAACCTTAATAGGACTGGGAGAGGAGTAGTCAAGGATACCACCCTTTACGGGCTGTCTTCTCCTGCATTATTGTGTGAGAACTTCTGATGGCCTAGGAACATATTTTGGCCTGTGATGGGTGGAAAGACACCAAGCAGTTTAGGGAGTCATTTTACAGGTTTCTACTGGTGAATCCTCATGCTCGAAGGAGGTTCCCGTATTATGAATGGGAAATGAGCTCACAGTAGGCAGTGGGCGTCTCAGTATCCACACCTGGTTGTGGTCATGGGAGCATCTCAGCGCCTCTTCTCACCTTGTATCTTCCCACACTGACCTAACTTATCACTATATCTCAACTATCTCGTTAATGCTCATGATGCTCTTTTTTTTTTTTTTTTCCATCCCCAATCTTTACCTTGATCTTGGACTCCAGGTTTCATTTTCTATTGCACCCTGGCAGCTTAAATTCAACTTTCCTGCAACCAAACTTATCATCTTAGCCACAAAGTGGTAACCTTTTCAGTGTTCCCATTTCCATTTTCTGAATAGAAACTCTGGTTATCACTGAAGGCTTCCCCTTCAGATTCTGTGGCCATCCCTACATTTACATACTCATTGCACTGGATAGATTCTGACTTTCCCTATGCAACTCACTAGGAGGGAAATTAATGATCCAGGCCAGTTGCTCTCTGTATTGAACACACATAATGTCTTCCCCAGGACTCTTGAAGGAATGTGGTATAAAGAGGGTCAGGCATTTGAGGTAGGGACTTGCACATGAGGCTCCTTTTGATCTGATGGAATTTGTACACTCCTTCTGGTGGGGCTTTTCGTGTGAATGTTTGACTGGGTTTAATATGGGCTTTAATTAGCAATGTAGATGAAGCAGGCTTCCCAGCAGGTCACCAACTGACAGGTCACAGGCAATTTTCCTTTAATTCCTCAGCCCAGGGGATCCCACATTCCCCGTAGTGGAAGTTCTACTCTGAGGGGCCACTTTGTCTTTGCCTTCAGAGTAAGAGTCAAGCTGCCAGCCAGGGCCAAGCATTCTCAAAGGGCCTGTGGCAGGAGCTGGAACCACTACCGCAGGGAGAAGCTGTGTCTTCTGTGTTCTCTCAGCCTTAGCCCCAGCTGGATGATTCAGTGCCTGGGGATGCCCTTGGGAAGCTCATGGGCAGGGACCCTGTCTGTCCCATCTGTGGATCCAGGGTGGGCAGCAGCAGTCAAAGACCACTCTGCCACACGATGACACTGGTTTTCCCTACACTTCATCGTGATCTTTCCCTTTACAGCCAATTGCTTTCCTTTTATTATATATTTTCTTGTAAGTCCCACTGGTTTCTACTCTTCCATGATTAAAGATGTTGCCCCAAGATCACTCAGGGAGGAACACATAAAAGAAACTGGAGCAGAAGGAAAGATGCTTGAAAGGTTTGGCCTAGGAAAGAGAAGTGAGGACAGCAAAGCTAAGAAGTCATTGTTTGGTTCCGAGAGACTTCCTAGGATTGTTAGGCTAAGGTTTTCTTATTCTTGCACTTACTTGAAATGATCTTTGAGATGCTGGTTCTTGAAGTGTGAAGTGATGTTTCCAAAAGAGAAGAAAACAAGATGGGTTGGGTAATAAGAAACGAAATCATGCACTGGTGATTCTAATCATTTGTTTTTCTCCTCAAAATATTATCTACTTTAACCAGAAGGGGTGTCCAGTCTCCCTTTATTGCCCTTATAAAGGTCCTGGGAGCCCTCTGCCTCTACCTGATAGGGGTATCCATCGGCCCTGCCCATGAAGATCAACAAAAGATAGCAGGGAAACTGATGATGATAAATCTCCTGTATCTTTTCTCTGTCTTATCATTAAGGTTAAATGCCAAGCCTGTTGTCAATGATAAAGTCATTCTAGGAAAGAAATAAAGCATAAAATCTCATACTTCTTTGCAAAAAAACAGCCTGCTAGTGATGACTGCCTTGTTTTAAAATATTAGATTAAGGCTGAGTGTTTCCTGCATGATATTCTTGTGGTCATATAATTTTGGCATCAGCTGACAGCAAAACATGGGAATGACTTTCGTTTGTTTGTTTGTTTGTTTGTTTGTTTGTTTGTTTGTTTGTTTGAAAAATGGTTTTATTTATTGTTGAGTCTGAGGTTTAAATTCTTTTTATTTTGTCATATGAGGAATTTAAAAACACTTTAAAAGTTTTTAACAGACCTTAGGTGGTTCTTAAACAAAAGGCATTAACTCTGAGCAGGGCAAGAGTAGCATGTGAGGATTCTGCCCTGTGGGTTCACACACCTTAAACGAAAGGGAGAATAGGCCGAATGTTTGGATACCTCAAATTTGGGGTTTTCAAGCACATTCAAACAGGTTTCAAAAAAAAAAAAAAGTAAATAGAAGTATAAAGAGAAAAGGGGAAGAACTAGGTAGCCGGAAAGGATTATTGATCCAGGCTTTTATCTCTTGCATAGATGTTGCAAGTTGCACCTTATGATTCAAGATGTTAAAAGCAAGTTGTTCTGTCATTCTCTGAAATATGTTGTCTTCAAGACCTACAACATTAAACATGTTCCCAGCCCAGGTTCCTCCTTCCTCCTGTCTCTGCATTGCTTCCTGGCCTCTTGCGCGGCCTGCCCTCCAGCTTGGAAAGCGTGCAAAGCCCCAGGAAGCATGCACAGAGGCAGGAGGCGTGAGCTGCTGCGGGCTCTCAGGGACGAGCCCACCTACGGAGCTTTGCAGCCCTAGAAACCACCAAGGTCTGCTACCAACCCAAGGAACAAAGTAGAAAACGAGAGAACCAAACCTGATTTGGGTTTTGCTCTAACTTCAGAACAGAAATTTCAAAGACGTTTGCCCCTCATTCAGCAACTAATTGTTATGTTTAAGGAAAACAAGAGAAGGGCTAGAAAAGGACCGTGTGTGCTTTTTGTCCAGGTCAATCAAGTGCTGCTATCAGTATGCAAGATGACAGTAAGAAAGTAGATTCTGATGCCACCTGTTTTAAAGGTGTCCCCTTGCCTTTCCATTTCTTTCTGCTGAAAGTACAGCAGAATGCTGAATAGCATCATTTAGATGCTAAAAAAACAAAAGCCGTGTCTTGTTTATTTCTGGATATCTTCGTATAGTGCAGTTCTGAGTACAAAGTAGATTAATCATTTTTCTTCAGGGTTTTAATCCATGGTGTAGTATTTTCTTTCTTATCTTATATTTTTAACCCTGTTCTGAAATGTGCATCCATTGGGGAACAGAAGTACAGCCTTCTCATGAGTTCTTCCTTTAGGTACATTCTTAATTGTGAGTAAGGAAAACCAGTTACCATTTAATTACTTCCAAGTCTTGTCGCTGAGAATCCCGTGTAGAACCTATTTTTACTTTCCAAAGTCAAGCACACTGTACCCCGGTTCATATTCAAAGTCCTAGTACAACCAATGAAGCGAGAACAGTATGTTTAGAAAGTTTTGGTAGCTAAAATTATTTGAAAATTAATAGATACATCCAAAAAGTTGGGATGAAGTAATAAAACTAAAAACGCCTTCTTAGCATCAGGGTCAAGAATCAATATCCCCTGCCCAAAACCTCTGTGAGATTTGTTAAACTTTGGCTAAGAGCAGCATCACCAGATCTTGACACCAAACCTAGTTGTGGTTCACAGTCTACACACCAAACCCCAGAAGTTCTACAAGTATGTGAAAACCAGTGGAAAATAAATTTATTTAAGATAATATTTGTTCACACTTCTGTCGAACTATATTTGTGCATCTGATGATATAGCATTGAAATGAAATACGTTCAAAAACACAAAGACTCACACTGTTCAATGAGCAACACATGCTACTCATATGGACGCCCAATAATGTAACAACAAAAAATACCCTGAACTTTGTTTGTTGAGAGGAGTTATAATTATTCAAGAATTATAAACATCTGTTTACTTTCCTAAGCAATTTCACTGGTTCTTACAGTCCTTTAAAACCATTTTGAAACCTCTTTTAATTCCACAAGTCAGAGACTTCTATCAGGCCGCTGCAGACTTTCTGTTCCCTGTCTCAGAGGACGGATGTTGTCCTTCGTGTCCATAGATGGGAGCTCTGTCTTTCCCGCTTCTTCCTTAATTAAATGTACGTACATAGCTAATGACCGTGGATGGCAGCTGGGTGCATTGTGTGATCTATGTTTGCTGTTCAGGGGTTATTCTGAGTATATTTGTGAAGCTTTAGGGTTACTCCAAAAACCCACAAAAGTTCGTTTCCTTGGATAGTCCTTCAAAAACCTCACAGAACCATACCCCCAGAACAGGAGAATTTTGCCTATTCTTTAAAATTAACTGGGCGTGACTGGTGTGATCTGTTTGTAAACGTCAAAATAATTAGTGGGCCAGGCTTTCTTTGTTCGCAGGCTTTAATAATACAATAATTGACAGAGTTCTTAAAAGTTGATTTATTGTCATGGTTGAGACTCAGGTGGTTGACAGAGCTAGGAAGAGCTTGTAATTACTCTGGGCCCTTTTCTGATATGACACAATAATGCTTTTAGGTCTAACTCAGATGGGGCAATTTAGCCATGATTGGTGAACATTTTGTACAGTGGTACATAGACTTTGATAAGAAAGGTTAAGCATAGATGACATGGAAAATATGTTCTGAAGGAGCCCATGAGATGATCAGAGCAATAACATAGCCATTTATTCACAATCCACATACATCTTTATGAAAAGAATACTGGAACTTCAGCAGTTCAAAGCAAGCAAAGAAATCATTTACCTTCCTCCTCCCCAAGTTACATAAAATTTTGTCACAATTGCTAAACTGAGCTTCTAATCCATCTCAAATACCTAATATCAG